ATATTAACAGATTAATACAGAAAATTTACATGATCATCTCAATAAATACCAAAGTTTCATTTGCTATAATGTCACCTTATACACAATAAGAACTACAACAAAACTGTTCAAATCATTCAGTAATCTCAAACAAAAGGAGTCCCGAGCAAGGCATCAGTTCGCTCTGTCTCTGTCTCAACACATACTCTTAACAAAAACCAGTGGTTCCAGAAGTCATTACACAAGGGATTCTTACATTTTGCTACATTAATATGCATGCAAGGCTGAAATATGGTATACAGCACACTAGTGCAAGATGTTAATAGCAGAGGAAAGTCTCAGAAGTGGGAATATGAGGGAGAGAGGGAATATGCTTTCGTTTGATCTTTGTAAAACTGTTCTGAGAAATGAAGTCTATTAACATAAAAATATATGTGTCTAAGTTTATACATCAACAAAGAGAAACAAAACACAACCAGCTACAGAAAACGTTGGCAACACCTTTTCTATCTGTCTGTCTTATAATCTGTTAGTGAAGTGGTGAGCTGAAGCACGGCCTCTTTGAGAAGCTTTGAATTAAAATTTAAAATCCACATACTCTTCAATTGAACAAGTTTATTTCAATGAGTTTAACATATAGAAATATCACAACTGAATGCAAATGTTAATCTATTAACGTGTTTATTTCTAATTGTTCATAGTAGGAAAAGACTGAAAACTACTTAAATGATTATCAAAAGATTAAGGGACTATGACATATCCATGTAACGAAATACCAAGCAGCCATGTTTCCAAAAGAGAAGTAGATTTGTAAGCACCAAGAGAGAATGCCGTATTCATAAGTGTGGTTGGTGGCGGTGTGGCAGAAGGCAGCAGCGGCAAGTGGAACCCTTGGTGTTTACTAAGGGTAGGTGTGTTTGAGAGGCAGAGAGGGAAAAATCCACACCGTACTTTACCAAGAGAAGACTATTAAAAGAAACTCAACAGGCAGATGAAGGGATAAAGATGTGGTACTACTCAGCCACAAAAAAGAATAAAATAATGCCATTTGAAGCAACATGGATGGACATAGAGATTATCATACTAAGGGAAGGCAGTCAAACAGACAAATACTATATGATAGCACTAATAAGCAGAATCTAAAAAAAACGTGACAAATGAACTTATTTACAAAAAGAAACATACAGACAGAGAAAAAAATTATGGTTATCAAACAAGAAAGTGGGGAAGGGATAAATTAGGAGTTTAGGATTAAAGGCTGCAAACTACTACATATAAAAAGACAAACAACAAGGTCCTACTGTACGGCACAGGGAACTGTATTCAATATCCTGTATAATAATCAACTATAATGGAAAGAATATGAAAAAGAATACATATATATATATTATATCTGAATCACTTTGCTATACATCAGAAACTTACACAACACTGTAATAAACTATACTTCAATTTTGAAAAAGTAATAACTTTTTAAAAAGGCCACAGAACTGGTGCTGGGAGAGAAAATGGAGACTGGGAGTCAGGAATGTGAAAGAAACCACTTTTCACCATTTATTTTTATTTTATTTGAATTATTTCCCATGTATATATATACTTAAAGATATATATCTTAGGGGGGAAAATCCAGGAAAGTAAGAATGCAAAAGAATATTCTTACCTAGGTAAAAGTTGCCTATCTCAAATCCACAATAGTCAGATGTCAGAGTGACCCATTAGAATCAGCCCCAATAAATTCAGACATTAAGAAAGTATATGCACTATCTGTGCTAATATTCAATTTGTACCTGATGCAAAAAGATGGGCAGGGGCTATAAATTCTAGAAATTATGTAAAATACACAATAAGAACTACAACAAAACTGTTCAAATCATTCAGTAATCTCAAACAAAAGGAGTCCCGAGCAAGGCATCAGTTCGCTCTGTCTCTGTCTCAACACATACTCTTAACAAAAACCAGTGGTTCCAGAAGTCATTACACAAGGGATTCTTACATTTTGCTACATTAATATGCATGCAAGGCTGAAATATGGTATACAGCACACTAGTGCAAGATGTTAATAGCAGAGGAAAGTCTCAGAAGTGGGAATATGAGGGAGAGAGGGAATATGCTTTCGTTTGATCTTTGTAAAACTGTTCTGAGAAATGAAGTCTATTAACATAAAAATATATGTGTCTAAGTTTATACATCAACAAAGAGAAACAAAACACAACCAGCTACAGAAAACGTTGGCAACACCTTTTCTATCTGTCTGTCTTATAATCTGTTAGTGAAGTGGTGAGCTGAAGCACGGCCTCTTTGAGAAGCTTTGAATTAAAATTTAAAATCCACATACTCTTCAATTGAACAAGTTTATTTCAATGAGTTTAACATATAGAAATATCACAACTGAATGCAAATGTTAATCTATTAACGTGTTTATTTCTAATTGTTCATAGTAGGAAAAGACTGAAAACTACTTAAATGATTATCAAAAGATTAAGGGACTATGACATATCCATGTAACGAAATACCAAGCAGCCATGTTTCCAAAAGAGAAGTAGATTTGTAAGCACCAAGAGAGAATGCTGTATTCATAAGTGTGGTTGGTGGCGGTGTGGCAGAAGGCAGCAGCGGCAAGTGGAACCCTTGGTATTTACTAAGGGTAGGTGTGTTTGAGAGGCAGAGAGGGAAAAATCCACGTCGTACTTTACCAAGAGAAGACTATTAAAAGAAACTCAACAGGCAGATGAAGGGATAAAGATGTGGTACTACTCAGCCACAAAAAAGAATAAAATAATGCCATTTGAAGCAACATGGATGGACATAGAGATTATCATACTAAGGGAAGGCAGTCAAACAGACAAATACTATATGATAGCACTAATAAGCAGAATCTAAAAAAAACGTGACAAATGAACTTATTTACAAAAAGAAACATACAGACAGAGAAAAAAATTATGGTTATCAAACAAGAAAGTGGGGAAGGGATAAATTAGGAGTTTAGGATTAAAGGCTGCAAACTACTACATATAAAAAGACAAACAACAAGGTCCTACTGTACGGCACAGGGAACTGTATTCAATATCCTGTATAATAATCAACTATAATGGAAAGAATATGAAAAAGAATACATATATATATATTATATCTGAATCACTTTGCTATACATCAGAAACTTACACAACACTGTAATAAACTATACTTCAATTTTGAAAAAGTAATAACTTTTTAAAAAGGCCACAGAACTGGTGCTGGGAGAGAAAATGGAGACTGGGAGTCAGGAATGTGAAAGAAACCACTTTTCACCATTTATTTTTATTTTATTTGAATTTTTTCCCATGTATATATATACTTAAAGATATATATCTTAGGGGGGAAAATCCAGGAAAGTAAGAATGCAAAAGAATATTCTTACCTAGGTAAAAGTTGCCTATCTCAAATCCACAATAGTCAGATGTCAGAGTGACCCATTAGAATCAGCCCCAATAAATTCAGACATTAAGAAAGTATATGCACTATCTGTGCTAATATTCAATTTGTACCTGATGCAAAAAGATGGGCAGGGGCTATAAATTCTAGAAATTATGTAAGTTATCACATTCACAAGTGATATAATTATCCACATAGAAAATCCAAAAGAATCAACTGAAAAATTAATAAAACTTTATTTTTATTTTATTAGAATATTTTTTATTTATTCTAAGAAGTTTACCCAGGTAGTTAAATACAAGATTCACATATAGAAATCAATAGCATTTTTTATGCATCAGATAAAACTAACCAAAAAGTATAACTTAAACACACACACACACATACATTCAAAATAGCCACATTTCAAAATGCACAGGACTAAACATAGAAAAGAAACATACTGTACTTTTGTGACAGAAATTATACAACTTTATTAAAGAATACAAAATAATATTTGAACAAATGGGGAGATATACCATTGTATAAAGATGTCAATTCTTCTATAAATTAATATCTCAATTAAGGGAAATTCCTATCAAATTGCCAATGGATTTACTTGAAAGCTTATTCTAAAATTCATCCGTAGAAAAAAATATTTAAATAGAAACCAAATAATTTTGATACAGAATGAGGGTGACACTATACCATTCAAAGGGAAAAAGAGAAATGACCCCTGAGTGGGAAAAGATGGTCGTCTTCACTAATAGAGAAATGCAAAATAAGATTAATAAGATAGTTTTTGTCCTTAGATATCTTTGAATATCTAAAAGATAATTTGGGGGGGAGAGAAACAAAAACTCACAGATACTGTTGGTGGAAGTTTACTTGGTCTAGTCTTTTTTTAAAGGTGATTTGGAAGATTAAAACCTTGTGCAAGGAATTCCCTGGTGGCCCAGAGGTTAAGACTCCATCTTCCAGTGGAGGGGATGGGGGTTCAATCCCCAGTCAGGAACTAAGATCCCATGTGCTGCACAGTGCAACCAAATGTTAAAAAAACAAACAAACAAAAACCATGCATATGGTCCAATCCAGCAGTAACAAGGTAACTTTCAGACCTGACTCCAGAGTACATGTAAACACCCGCCCAAAGAGCCTGATCAAGCATGTCATGTAGCACCAAGTCTTTCCAAACTAGAAACAATTCAAGTGCTCATTAGGAAGACAGTTTTGTTTTGTTTTGTTTTGTTTTAACATAGCACAGCCATCTTAGGGGATACAGTGCAGTAGTTTAAAAAGCAAACCAACCTATTCCTATTGACATTGCAAGAACTTCAAGATCACTTATGTACTGCAAGAACGTGTGTTCTATGTGACAGTTTATGTTCAAAATCTGTACATAGTTGTGCACATACATGTGATTGTAAATATACAGAACAAAAACAAATGGTGAGCTTTTTTCTGGGGACAAGGATTAGAGATGCAGTAAAATCAGTGGGGACTCCAGCTTCCTATTTTGCTTGAAATTTCAAGATGAAAATGTAAGCCTATATTAATCATGTAGTTTTAAAACTCTCCCTGAAGTTAATATGACAATTTTTAAATATAAGCACATTTTTCTTTCAAACATATTCATTTAAAATGTGTATATCATCACATATTTTTATTTTAAAAGGGCCTGAATATTTTTCAACCTTATTAAAACCATAAGAATATTTTCAAGGTGGGGGAGTGGTAAGGTTATCTGTTGCCATTCTGGTTTCTCTATATAAGGACTTTAATCTCTATGTTATCACTGCAAGAAAACATCATCTCAGCATTAAGGCACATGCAGTCTACATTCTCTAAATAATTCTAAACAAATCTGATATCAAACATCAGTGCTGCATCAGAAAACACATACTTGTAGAATGTCCAACGACATAACAATATTGCAAAACATCAAGGATCTTCTGGAAGGGTTATGGCTCCAGTGAAGAACTGGTCTTTGTGTTAATCAGGAACCTTACTTTTGGATTCTTTTTCCAAAACTCTGTATAGCTGTGCTGGGGCATAAATTTAAAAGTGTTCCATATCTCATGATGATGTCTTGGAAAGCGTCTGAAAATTGGGACTACCACAGCTTCCTTATAGACATATGATATTTGGTTATTTGAAAAGCCATCGAGACAAGATGGAACATAGTCACATGCCCAGAGATTGAAATTTCTTGAAACGTGTTGCCTTTTTTCTGGGGAGATCTTCTTACGTCCCAAGCCCTGGAGAAGGATCACAAGCGGATTAGGAGGAAAATATTCAAGGCCACACAGTTTGGAGGTCTTTAATAAAACCACTTCCACAACATCCTGTGTTTAAATGACCACTCTTATAGGAGGCATCCTTTATCAACTTGTGGGAGGCTGTAAATTGACACAACCTCCTGATTCTCATAGCCTTCCACTCCCACCAAAGGGGCTGGGCTTCTAGAGACATGGATGGCTGAACCAGAGAGACCCCAGCCTGGACAGCCAGGAAGCCCGCGTAGGTTCTCTGCACCCAGGCGGCTGTATACACCCCCAGCTGCATCCCCAGCACTCAGTGGGAGGGCTCTTACTCCGAGAGATCCGAGGATTCTCTCCCATCCCAGAGGATTCCCAGTTAAGGAAGCAGCGCCTGGTTCTCCACCCACAGGCTTCCTCCTCAAACCTTACTAATGTGGCCATTAGAAAATTTACAAATTACATATACAGCTCGCATATCTATTTCCATTACACAGTGCTGTGTTAACAACCACTAACCAGCACCATCAGACTTTTTCTCAGTGATGGGGAAACACCATCTCCAGGAACAAGATAACTGTAGTTAGTAGGGGCTCCTTCTTTATATCATGAAAACTCCCCATCCTTTCCTTGGATGCCTCCTTATGGGTCCTGGCTCCGCCATCCAGAGACACACATAGGCAATCCCTCCTTCTCATGACAGATCTTCACAGAAGAAAGCTCACAAATTAGACGGTTTATGGGAAAGCACTTGGATAAGCATGAAATTCACAAAAACCTAGGCAGGAGAGAGGATGGTGTGGATTTTGAAAGCCACATGGGAATTTGAGAATTTATGTTTCCCCCAATCCCCCGGCCTGGTAAACTGTTATGAGGCTTTAATTTTATTCCAATTTTGAGGCCAGTCGTCAATCTTCACCAGCTCTCAGAAAATCAAGAGCCCTGATGTTGCTGTTCATTTTTTTAGCAATGTGGAGAGAAATACTCACAGAGTCAAGGTAGAACCCAGAGTCCTGAAAGCTGTGACGATTGTCGTGATCAGAGAAGGGGAAGTTGTTATTTACTGCTTGCTGGAAAAGAGCCAGGCGAGAGATAAAAAGGCACACATCAGAACTACAGCAGGCTTCCAGAACCTGCCTACAGTGGCCTGGAAGGAAGATGAAGGAGGAAAGTTGACCTCTAAGTGAGAACTAAACCCATCCACAGCAATGGAGCAAACAGCTAGGGGGCGAGGGCTTAGGTGTGTACATCAGCTCAAGGCCTTGAAACTCTACTTCATTGCCAGCTTTCTTAAAATTACAACAAATTCTCTTTAAAATACCTTATTAAGAGACAAAGTCAATAAAATACCTTATCAACTTTCAATACCTATTGAAAGTCAGTAGGCATGGAATTGAAGGCTGGAAAGGAATTTTGAAGCCATTGTCTTCATCTGGCCAGTAAGGGTCCTAGTAGACCAGAGCTCTCTGGTCCAGGGTGGCTAAGTGTGAAGTCAACCCCGCTTCTACCTCCGGCCACTTGTGGCCCCTTAAGCTGCTTATGAACTGGCCAGGGAGGTAGAAATGTGTGTTAAGCGCTCTGTCCATAGAGGAGTAACTATCGTCTGGACCAGGAGGTAGTTCCTTCTAGAGAGTATTTGAGGAGCCATAGTGAGCAATTATGAAGTGAGGATGCTTCCAGAATGTAGGGATCCAGGGAGAGCTAGTGAGCAGTTCCTTCCAAGCAGTACCACCCCCTTGGAGAACCAGGCCAGCGCACTGGACTCACCTTCTCCCGCACTTTGTAGATCGGCGGAAGTTTCTCCTCCACTTGCCGAGATAAACGTGGACTGTAGGACTCTTTCAACATCATACTTGTGATGGATTCTGGCGTCTTTTGTGTTAGTCCAATGTGAGGGAACTGGAAAAACAGCACACGCCTTGATTAAAACCAGACACATCTGAATCTCAAAGCCAAGTATCAGGGCTTCCTCTGTAAAAGGATTAAAATGCAATTTGGGTGCTTCTGGCATGCAATGGAAATGGCATAATTTTCGTAATTTTCAAGTATCCTTTCCAAGACAAAAAATATTGTCATGGCCCAAGGCCACCACTGCCGGTTGTTTCAAGTTACAGGGGCCACCCTGCTGCTCGGAGCCTGGAAATGGTTCCGTGGCCTGGGGAGGGGGGTGTGGTCCCACGAGAGGGAGCCGATGAGCTCCAAGGAGACAGAGTGTGTTATCTGAGACCTTCCTGGTGGTCAGGGAGTGCCCCATACTCAGGGCCAAGCATTTGGCCCACATTCCCAGGGTTGAGCCAACCTCCTGCAGGTAGGAGGCGGACCTTGGGGCACGGGAGGGTGAGAAGGGTTGCGTGAGTCTCTACAGAAAATGTAGAATGGTAGAGGCTGGGAAGATTATTTGGATGCCAGGGGTGAGCTGGGAGTGGGCTTTAGTATCTCCCTGTGAACAGGAGGGAAGGAAACAGGACTGATTCGGGGGAGGTGGTCCCAAAGAAGGTCCAGACCAACCCCATAGGGAGCTCTAGACAGAGTGGCTTCTCAGAGTCGGCCTGATGGAGTGAGAGGACTCTGGTCCATCAGTCACTGGGTAGAAGGAAAATGTGGAGGACCCAGGAAGCAACTGACCTTGAGGAAGAAGCTCTTTTCAGCCAAGGAGATCTAGGGTTGGACCCCGCCCCTCCTCCCCCCAACCAAGCCACGCTCTCAGCAGCTAGGCCAGGAGTCCATTCCCAAAGAGGGATGTGGGTTCTTCTTGATGGCCACTGTAGCTCACCCCAATTTTACATAAACAGCTCCTCTACAAAGTGGCCTTTGAAGTGGTGATCTATAGGAGAGAAATATGAATGTATGAATGGAAACTAAGATACAAATAAAAGGCAAGACCCCAACTCTCAGTGAAAATTCTTGCAAAAGGAGGTAACATAATGTGAGAGTGGGTCATAGACAATAGATTCAACGTCCCTGGGTCCAATCCCAGCTCTCTCTCCTATAAGGTCAGCCTTCCGCAAGAGACTTAATTTTTCCAGGTCCCAGTTTCTTTATCTGTAAAATGGGAATAATAGTAACCTACCTGATAGAGTGCATGCATGCTAAGTTGCTTCAGTCATGTCCAACTCTTCCCGACCCCATGGACTGTAACCCACCAGGCTCCCCGTCCATGGGATTATCCAGGCAAGAATACTGGAGTGGGTTGTCATGCCCTCCTCCAGGGGATCCTCCCAACCTAGGGATTGAACCTGTGTCTCCTGTGGTTCCTTCATTGCAGGTGGATTGCTCACCATTGAGTTACTGGGGAAGCTCCACTTGATTGAGAAGATGTGATTAAAAGAGTAAAACACATGCACCCAGACAGTATCCCCTAGCTGTTGACAGGTTCTGTTCTTGCTCACAGCTGTCCCCTCCCTTATCCCCAAACCCATTGTTACACCAAAGGCCAGTCTTTCCTTGTCTTCAGGATTACAATGACATTGGTTAACACTGTTGTTTTCTCCCATTCCTTCTCAAGTCATGATGTAACTGTACATATAACTATGGCCTTTGTTTAATCTCTGCACAAGAGTGCATTTAGTATGCTACTCTTATGTCAAAAGGTGGAGAGATTATGCCATCTATATGGTACACTCAGTGGGGCATTGTTGGCAGAGAAAATGAGAAGCAATGGTTTATACGACACATAGCAATGTGGAAAAGAAGAAACAGAATGAGATCTGTAACCCAACACCATTTACATAAATAAATAATCCATGCACACAAAACAGCACTACATAATTTACAAGAATACATCTCAGTAACAGAGTTCCCATTAAACACATATGAGTGGCTGCCCATGGGGTGAGCAGAGCAGGAACAGGTATTAAGAGCAAGGAAGTGACCACATGAACCAACCAACATTGTATGGACTGGCCCTGCTATGGATGAACGACAGGGTCACATTGGAGGAGGGCACCATGGAAATGGAAGGTTTCCTTGCCATCCTTTAAACATTTCTTAACTAAGTGCATCTATTACATTGTCTCATTTTCCACAACAAGAACAATCGTCTTTGTTTTTGATTACCGTTGTAATACTTGCTCATGGTTTTAAAAGTTCAGACAATAAAGAACAACTTAAGGAAGGAATCGGGTTGTATCAGGCTTCCCAGGTGGTGCTAGTGTAAAGGACCCACCTGCCTATGCAGGAGATGTAGGAGACATGGGTTCCTTCCCGGGGCTGGGAAGATCCCCTGGAGGAGGCCATGGCAACCCACTCTAGTATTCTTGCCTGCAGAATCCCATGGACAGAGGAGCCTGGTGGGCTATAGTCCATGGGGCCACAAAGAGTCGGACACGACTGAAGCAATTTAGCACGCACACAGGATTGTATTATGTGATTTCAAAAAATTACAAATACCTTAAAAAATTTAACAGTTAACTTTTGGGAATTCCCTGGCAGCCAGTGGTTAAGAAAACAAAAACAAACCCAGTAACTTTTGGTTACCCTCTCCTCCCTCTTCTTGTCATCCCAAATAAAAATGATAACAACAATAGCTCTCATATATTCCTTCACAAACACCTGTACCTACAAAGGGGACTTACACTGCTATACAAAAGTTGGACCACATAATGCATACCATTTTGTACCTCACTTTTCTTTTTTTCCGTTTTTTATGGGAGTATAATTGTTTTACAGTGTTCTGTTAGTTTCTGTTGTACAACAAAGTGAATCAGCTCTAAGTATACATATATCCCCTCCCTTTCGAGCTTCCCTCCCACTTCCGCATCCCACCCCTCTCGGTCATCACAGGGCACCAAGCTGAGCACCCTGTGATCTACAACATAACTTGCTTTTCTTGCTTAACATTATTGTTCTTGTAGTTCAGTTGCTCAGTCGTGTCCAACTCTTTGTGACCTCATGGACTGCAGCACACCAGGCTTCCCTTCCTTCACTATCTCCTGGAGTTTGCTCAAATTCATCACTTAACAATATACCCCCCCCCAAAAAAAAACCCTAGAAATTTTTCAAAGTCAGCCTATACATTTCTAATTCATTCTATAGTATATATATATATATTTATGTTTTTAAGCAATTTTTAAGTAAGTATAAATAATACAAAGGGCCTCCAGACTCAGAGCCTTTCTCTTTTCTCTTCCTCCAATCTGCTTTTCCAAGTTATGGAGAATCAGGCCATGGGTAGGGAGTTTTTCTACATCTGGAAGGGTTCCTCTCACCAGCTGAATGATGACTGACTTGAGTTCATTTGTATTCTGCAAGACTGTGGACTAAATCACTGTAAAAAAAAAATGGCTCTAGCATTTTAATTTCACTCTTTTAAAATATATATTTAATGGCTATAACATGATAGCTGTGAAATAAACCCTTCTGTTAGATATTGTAACCGTGAAATATAGCTTTTTAACTAGTTGGCGGTGAAATTTTTGCTGCATTCAATCACTCAATGACTGAAATATTAAACAGGAAGGTGAACGTGTGTGCAGAGTGCCTTTTCTACTCGGCAACAGCCAGATCACCACCAGCAAGGTCAGCTGTGAAATGACTGTCACCTCCAATGTGGCAATTACTGTCTCCGAAATGGGCTGCTACTGACACAAAACCAACAATTTCCTTAATTTTCCCAACTTGTCTACAAGTTACTTAGGGAAACTTCATGTCAGCACTGTTCTTTTTATTCTCTTAGGTGCCGGCAGCAGAAAGGAGACCCACATCATAGGCTCCGGTTAGATTTTGGGGAAATTAAGCCTTCCTTCCTGAACTGGTTCCTTGTACATTCCTAGGATCCCCACTAGGAGATGCCATGCTTTCTTGATTTCTCCCTTATTGTAGAACACTAACTTTGGAGTAGCAACATGGCTGGTTTAAAAAATACTTCCCGAGGACTTCCTTGGTGGCCCAGTAGTTAAGACTTCACACTTTCAGTGCTTCCGCTGCAGGGGATGTGGGTTCAATCCCTGGTCACGGAACTAAGATTGCATTAAGATCGAGGCTTGGTTAAAAAAAAAAAAAAAAAAAACCCTCCTCCAACTCCTTTGCAGCTAAATTGGACACGTGACCCTTGAAATGAAAGCCTAAGTCTGTGGTGGGGCTCCTGGTTCCCCACTAAGGGATACACCCCACAGTAGCTTTGAGCTCTTCTGCAGATACGGAAGGTCCTCAGGAGGGAGAAGTCAGCAGTTAACCATGGTATGCAGCCCACAGGGGCATCGTCTTAACCGTGGTATGCAGCTCACAGGGGCATCGTCTTAACCGTGGTATGCAGCCCACAGGGGCATCGACCCCAGACCAGTTGGACCTGAAGGTTGATGATGCTGACTCGCACTTACCTCACCGCCAACCCATCAGAAGAATGTCCACAAGCTGATCACGCCCTATTTTAACCATTACTATGAACCTCCTCACTATCCTCTCCAAGCTGGGACATATGTTTCCAAGGCAGGAGTCCACTGTGTCCCCCTTTGCCTGGCAAAGTTATCAAGTTATCCTTTTTTACTTCACCCAAAACCCTGTTTCTGAGATTCGATTCCGCAGTGGTGCGCGGAGCAGCCGAGTTTTCGGCATCATTGTTACTCGAGGACACAAACCCTTCTCTGGTTAAGGCTCTGTAGTCTCCTATTTATAATAATATTCAGTCAAGCATAATCCTGATACTGTAGATGATAAAAAGAGGCCGAGCTCTTTAGCCTGAGAAGCTTGTTTCTTCCTGACCAGTTAGTGCATGTAGTTCACACTATTCATCATCTCTCTTTAGCTGCCAGGAAACTCAGAGTCAAATTTGTTTGACTCCAAATATCTATTGTTTAAGCCATATGGCCTGCATATCTATGTTATGTATTTTATGTATTTTCTATTTTCTATGTTTCTGTGTTATATGTTTTCCCAGTCTCAGTCTCTTAAAGTATATTTAAACTGGTTCTGAGGTTTTGTTTTTATATACTTTATACTTTATTTTTAATATTTTCCACTCATTACTTTAAACCTTTGTGGAATGGAGCAGGGTATACAACAGGAAAGAATATCAGTATAAATATATACCCATCCCATCTTGTGGGTACCAAAACCCGGGGATGCTCAAGTTGCTTAGTTTGCCTTTGTATCCATGGGTTCTACATGGTGGACACATATACTGATATCACATATATACATATATATTATGTATATAATAGTTAGCAACAGTGTTTCCGTGCATTATACTAAGCACCTTTGTACCGATTGTCTCATTAATCCTCACCATGGCCTCTAACCTTGGTATATTATGCTTCCATTTAACAGACAAAGAGACTGAGATTAAGCCTTCAGGCCCCAATTTTCCAACATATTTTCCATTTTTTTGTCCTTTTAAACAAATCTTTAAAAAAATTTTCTATGTACTACTGCCCTAAAAGAGGTTAGTACCACTGTTTCCTGTGATACAACCAGTGGGGAAAAAAGACAAAGATACCAGGTCCATGGAATTTATATTCTAGGAGGGAGAGAAAAGTCACACATGTAATAAATTATATAGTATGTCAGAAGATGGGTGTGTGCCTGGTAAGTCACTTAAGTCGTGAACAGCTCTGTGTGACCCTGTGGACCATAGCCCGCCAGGCTCCTCTGTCCATGGGATTTTCCAGGCACGAATACAGGAGTGGGTTGCCACGCCCTCCTGCAGGGGGTCGTCCCGACCCAGGGATCAAACCTGTGTCTCTTACGGCTCCTGTATTGGCAGGAGGATTCTTTACCGCTAAAGCCACATGGGAAGCCCATGTCAGAAGATAGACGTTATGGAAAAAAGAAAAAGCAGAGAACACAGCAATCACTGCCTCATGGACATTCACAAGATACCAGTCTGCTGAGTGGTTTGTGCACAGACTAATTTCATCTGATCCTCCAAGAATCAGATATGAGATTCCCATTTCACAGGTGAAAGAACTGACACGGGATGAAGGGATCTGTCAGAAGTCATACTATGCTAAGTAGCAGCAGTAGGATCTGAGCTCAGTTCTGTGCCTGACCACACTCCTGTGGTCTGAGAAAGGTGAGAGAGGGTATCACCCTTCTTACCCATCTTCCATCCTTGTCTAAGGGTGGGTTGAAGCGTCTCCCTTTGACCATTTTGTGCAGGAAACGGAAGGGGGCTGAGACTGCCGCTCTTATCCCTCCATGGCCTCATGAGCTCTACACCTGGGAAGCCACTCCCCCTTGATCCTGGCCTCTAATTCGCAGGCTCTACCTGGCAGGGAAGTCCGGGAGTGGTCCCTGTTGTCATAGCATCAGAGCCCACCCGTCACAATGGGGCAGGAGCGCGGGTCCTCCAGCCAGCCAAGGGCTCCTGCTGCTTCGCGGTGTGTGAGTCCCAGGTGAGGAGCCCCCCACGCAGGCCAGACAGGTGGGCTCCAGACAGTCCTGAGACAATGGCCCACTCCACACCCTCCAAATCCTCCAACAGACGACTTCTGCATTGAATGTCTTCACGGTCACCATCTGCCCCAGCCTGTTGGTTTTCAGAGATGTGAGCTGACTCCGCCTTGTCTACAGCCCTGGCATGACCCAGGACATGGCATGACCCAGGCCAGGACCCAGATCTCCCCACGGGCTCCGTGCACGGCTGCTTCCCTGCCCAGCTGGGGCTCACTCACTGCGCGTTCACCATGCTGCACACAGCTGAGACCATGAGGAAGAGGCAATCATGAGTAATTATTCAGTGCCAGGGGTTGTGCTGAGCCCTTTTCACGTGTTTTACAAACCATTGGTGTCTACAAATGAGGAAACAGCACCTTGTACCCAGTGAGGGGGTTGCCAGGTCACAGGATGGCTCCAGGGCTCGCGAGCCTTTCCCGGGGCCAAGTGGTCTCCCCCAAGCTGTGGAGGCAGCTCCTGAGAACTGGTCTTCCTCCAGGGCCCGGACATGCAAGTGCGGCCTCACTTCTCAGTGAGGTGATTTCCGCTTCCCTTCCTCCCTCCCTTCCTTCCTTCCTTTCTCTCTTTCTCTTTCTTTTTCATTCTCTCTTCCTTCTTTCTCCATCTCTTTCTTCTTTTATTTCTTCATTTCTTCCTCTCCCTTCCATTCTCCTTTTTTTTAACACCCTGTCTTGACCATTCTATCGGCTACTCGATGTAAAAGTAAGAGTATGCGTCTACAGGAGACTCTGCCTGGCTCTCTTGGTAGGAAATTGTGTCCTCATCCCTCTCTTCTCCTAATCATGGCCAGGGTGTCCTCACAAGAGCCGCGCGTCGGGGACACGGGACCTCCGCCCTGGTGTCCTCCCAAGAGCTGCGCGTCGGGGACACGGGGCCTCCGCCCTGGTGTCCTCCCAAGAGCTGCGCGTCGGGGACACGGGGCCTCCGCCCTGGTGTCCTCCCAAGAGCTGCGCGTCGGGGACACGGGACCTCCGCCCTGGTGTCCTCCCAAGAGCTGCGTGTCAGGGACACGGGACCTCTGCCCTGGCCATCACTGAGGGCCCAGGGCGGTGGGCTCCTGGGTGAGGTGCCTGCGGGGGAACACGGACCGAGACGGAGCAGGTGTTAGCAACTTCCACTCACAGACGGGGGAAAGCAAGTCTCAGAGAGGTGAAGGGACTCCATCACAGTCATACCGCTGGTCTGTAGAAAAGTCCGCATGAGAACTCAGATGTGTGGAGGCCAAAGTCAACGACAGCATCAAACAGGATTCGTTTCACTGCATTTCCCCGACCCCGTTTGAATTAATGGGCACTGAATTTACTAGGATTGTTTATCATTCCACTTTTTTCGTCTGCGTGGAAGCGGGCCTGACTACACGCCGGCCTGTCAGCCACGATCCCTCCCCACGGCGAGCCTGGCAGGCCGGGGGTCAATGACCGCTGTTGCCTGCTCCTCCACTGGCCCCCCTCCCGGTGGACGCACTGCCACGGAGCCCAGCACAGATGGAGAAGAGGGATGAGGGCCGGACGCGGCTTCCCCCACATCCCAAGACTGAGAGCAAAGCAATGAGGGAGGAGGGAGCCAGAGACACTAAAGCCAGTGCCATTTCCAGTGCACTGTTCCATGGGCATTCACTTCGTCTCCACCAACAGAGCAGAAAATCCTCTAGATCTGAAGTCTCATCTCTGAATATATTCTCGTCTGCTCTGTAATTTAGTCTTCTGCTCTGTTAAGCAAGGTATATGATCACTGGTTAAGGTGTTCGCCAGTTTCCCCCTTTTGAATGATGGTTTACAATTCTCAAAAATGTGTCCAAGAAAAAATCAAAAGTGAATACAGAAAACCCGGCCAGGAAAAACGAAATACAGTTTTTCTTCAGCTAGGATTTCCGAGCGGCAGATTCGGGTGGGGTGTTTCGTTGTTGAGGTTGTTCTTTTCAGAGTTTTGAATTACTGGGCTGAACCTGGGGGCCCACCATGCTGGTAGCAAGTCCTGTAAACACACAGGGCTCTCAGATCCCTGGGGCTGAGAACACCAGAGGGTGGAGCCCCGTCCTGCCTTGGGTCTTTGCACGGGCACGCTCTGCTCAGAATGCAGTGATGCAGAACAAGCTGTCAAGGCGGCTGTGGAGGCAATGATGAGCACGTGGCTGTGTTCACTCGCCCAACAAGCACAGAATGCACACCCACTATGTGCCAGCTCTGCGTTCCAGCAGCACCAAGACGATCACCAACACCAGTTTTTTGTCAGTGGTAAATCACGGACAGTTTTTTAAAATGTCAGGAATATATATTAGCATCCACTATTTTTAGGCCAATTGTAAGTCAGAAGTGGGGCCTCCCTGGCAGCTCAGAGGTAAAGAATCAGCCTGCCAATTCAGGAGATGCGGGTTTGATCCCTGGGTTGGGAAGATCCCTTGGAGGAGAAAGTGGCAACCCACTCCGGTGTTCTTGCCTGGAGAATCTCCTGGACAGAGGAGTCTGGCAGGCTACAGTCCACGGGGGTCACAAAAGAGTCGGACGCAACTGAGTCACTGAACAACAAATTGTGGATACGCCAATACATCAGATGACCAGGACCCCAAATTATTGATTAACCAAAATTATTTTCCGCGAGCCATCTGTCACATTTATGCCTAATTGTTCCATCCAATGTATTTTTTAACACAGCAGCTGTTTGTATAGTTTGACTTTTAGATCTTTGCATCCAAAGTGTTAAAGACCTTATGAAAGGCAGCTGTCTGTCTCTTTCTGTGCTTCCAGTGTGGTGTGCCATTCCTTGATTTAATTAAGGACTTACCGTCTTTTGCAGGAGAGAAAGAGGTAGAACCACCAGTATGTTTTCACACATGCCTCTGCCACGTGCCCACATGTGCTGCCCCCAGAAACTCGCAGACCTGCACGCACAGGCACACTGCAATTCATCATGCCACCGAAGGGAAGATTTTGCCTCCTCGTTCATATCCACACATCCCGGACAATTTAACTAGCATGTGGGGGGAAATCTGAGGCATCTTCACATTCATAAAATGTTGAGCTCTGAGAAATTCTTCAGCATCTGAATTATAAAACACATTTTCATTTCACTCTGCAAAGTAAACTATCTGGATTCTTTTTGCAAATAGCAACCGAATTGAGGTGACTCCATTGCATTTTTCTATTAGTTCATGATTCACACAGAACTAATGGAAATTACGATGAATGCACAACCTATTTGCACATCACCTTGAAAAGTATCCAGGCATCGGTAACATGAAGCACTTTTTTTCCCTTGTTTTACCCTATCTTGCAAACTATCTGGAAAATTAACTGCATCTCTCTCCCTTCCACTCAACAATTCCTGGATCAAGACAAGTAAGAAGAATTGAAAGACAAGAAGAAGAACTTGACCACCTTGGAAGTTTGTTCAGTTGAGAGGTAGAAATAACAACATTTATAAAAACCCTTGACTCCACAAATACGCACGAGTCAGCGAGGATGTGAGACATTGCCCAGGTAACGACAATTTTTTATAACCTTGCTGAAACATGAACTGTGATAAACTTTTCAAATCGTATCTAGAGAAGCTTTTGCTTGATTGATAACTTGGAGAACTGGTCACTCAAAAAATTGCTGCAATCTAGCAAATTGTACTGGACACAGCGAAGGTCACGGAAAAACTGTCACCGTCCTCACGAACCTGACTCTCTGCTGGGGAGACAGACATTACACACAGAAAACTGGCTATAATTGGGAGAGGTTTCGGGGTGCTCAAGACCATGTGACAGAGGGACCTGCGTGAATCTGAACGGTGACTAGGCAGGTAATGAGGAAATGAAGCGAAGAATGACTTCAGTGAACCAAAGGAGAAGGAAGCATGTGCCAGGTGAATGGAGAGCCTGGTAGAGACCCTGATAGTGGGCAGAGCTTGACTCTCTCAGGAACCAGAAAGGAGGCCAGAGGATTGTGCAGGTTGGAGGTGATGTTGGAAAAATCAGGAAGCAGGCCACTCAGGGCCTCCAGGCTGAGAGCTGGTGGACAGGCACTTTGCCCTCTGTGACCTTGATCAGCTGGCCAATGTCAGCAGCAGGCAGAAACTCAAGGAACAGGTGACAGCCACATAACAGTTGAGAGCTTTGGCTTTTTTTAGAAAAAGCACCTTAGAAGTAAGACTCGCCATTAAGATTCAGTAGGTGTGCCAAGTTTATGCTGCCTCCAAATTCTGAAAAAGACAGGCAGAAATACTTAGTGTGAATCTCGTTTCTCCCGGGTGGGGTTGGTTACTCCTATTTTCTCTGTGTTTGGTGTTTGTTGAGGTTTATGTGAAGATGTGATGCTATTATTTTCAACCCCTGGAAAGTCAGCTGCTTTTGTCTTCTCGCAGTGTGAATGGGACAGTCCTCTGAAGACACAGAATAAAAGACAGCAGTAATTACAAGTGTGGTTCAACACAGAGGGCACTGGAATGGAAAATGCCAGCCTCCACCATCTTAAAGCCAAACCGCCAAATAAATATATATTTTTCAACTGAAGAGAAAATGAACAGTGTCGTGGAAGGTGATGGAAAGTTCACCTCTATCCCACACCGGGAGAGGAGAGAGGAGACAGGTCCCCCAAGGTAAGAGGAGACCTGTAGGCCTTTTCAAATCTCCTCTCTCCTCTTATTGTATACCATAAAACATAATGGAGATTTCATCAACTTGGCAGCAAATTGCGAACTAATAAAAAGCATTATTACAAAGATAATAAGAAGACCAAGTCATAAATGACAGACGTGGACTGAGTCCTAGTATTAGGCACCACTTTCTCCAGCTCAACAGGAATCCAAGGTTCATCAATTCAGTTAATTGTGTGGATGACCACCAATCTGTCCTTTCTTTCTCTGCTCTTTCTTCACATTCCAGAGTATTTCTGTTCACAGGGAGACCCTTGAAATGGCAAGTAGGAAACCTACACAGCATCAGGTCTTGCAATATTGCCTTCTACACATCGTCTCTTTTCCCTCCCTACTTCCTCCAAAGTTGGCTGTGAGGTAAGGAACCTCCCCACCCCCGCCAAGGCCTCTCTGCTCCAGATGTGGTCCTTGGACCAGCAGCCTGAGCGCCACTTCGAAGTTAATTAGAAATGCAGCGTCTCTGGGCTTCCCTGGTGGTGCAATGGGTAAGAATCCGCCTGCAAGGCAGAGGACACGGGTTTCATCCCTGGACTGGGAAGCTTCCACATGCCACAGAGCAACGAAGCCCATGCATGGCAAGTAGTAAGCCGGAGCTCTAGAGCCCACGTGCCCTAACAACCGAAGCCCGAGCGCCCCTAGAACTCCTGCTCCGCAGCAAGAGAAACCACCGCAATGAGAAGTCCGCACACCGAAGCCAAGAGTAGTCCCCTGCTTGCTGCAGCTAGAGAAAAGTCCATGCAGCAATGAAGACCCAGTACAGCCAAAAAATTTAAAAATTAAAAAAGAAAAAGAAAGAAATGCAGAGTCTCAGGCACCTGCCCAGACCTACCAAATCAGAATCTGCATCTTTAATAAGACTTTGGGTGATCTGTGTTCACATAAAGTTTCAGAAGCACCACTCTAGAACATCACAAGGCCCTTGTCAAGATTTGAGACTTTCTCAGTCCCTCTGTGAAAGGACAGTGGATTCAGGGCACCCATGGCCCTTTTGACCTTGTACCTACAGATAAGCACTTCAGCCTAATCCGTGGACAAGGATCACTGCACTTTTAGACTTTTAAAGATTTGGAAACTGAAGTAGGAGGTTAAAAGGGTTTCTACTCGAGTTCAGCTTGGTGCTCTGTGATGACCTAGAGGGGGTGAGATGGGAGCGGGGAGACCAAGCGAGGCTCGAGAGAAGGGGGATACATGTATACTTAGCACTGATTCACGTTGTTGTAGAGCAGAGATTAACACAACAATTGTAAAGCAATTATCCTCCAAATTAAAAAATTTAAAAGTCTGTGCAAAAAAAGTATACACAGCTTGGGGTTTGGAAAGTATTGTTAATAAACTTTTCCATGGGATATTCCTTCATTGCAGATGAAATGTGAAATGTCACCAAAAAAATAAAGATAAGTAAGCCAAGGAAATAAAAAGGGATTATATCTTATTTATCCAGGAGGTTTTCTCTCAGGCGCTTAAAGCCTTTCTAGTGGTACCACTCCAACCTCAGTGTTCCTTCTGATTGGAAGCAGGGAAGTGGGAGGCTCCCCCCACCCAGGACCCCAAGACACATGCTGTTTCTTTGCACAGTTACATAAACAGGCTGCAGTGTCATCGTCTTTATGTTTCATTTCAATTCCTGCCCCATTGATTCAATGGTGGCTCAGGAAAAGGAGAGTAAA